CATCACGTGCTCTGTAAGCCTTGATGAGCTAATGTTTCAAGTGCCTATGGAGCCTGCAGCCTTGGTTGCCGAAGACCAGTGAGCCCGGACCAAACACCACTGAGGCAGGCTGGGTGACTGCTGTCGCTCACACTGACCGGCTAATCCAGCCTCCTGAAGGCTGTGTGCTTCAGACCCCATTGCACTCCCCCAGCATGTGGCCAGGCCTCCTCAGATCCGCAAACCACTTAAATGGAAGTGCCCTCTCCGTCTTCTAAGGCAGCAGGCGGAGAGGAGAGGAGACAGGCTCAGAGCCTCGCAGCCCTGCCCTGAACTCCGAGTCAGCCTCTCATGGACTTAACCCCTCTGAGCCGCAGGCTCCTCCTCTGTGACGTGGGGATGGCAGCCTCCCTGGCAGGGTTCTCAGTGTGGGCACAGCCGAGCCATGGCCAGTGCTCCACAATTGGCACCTCCTTTACTGTGCCGTGGACCGTGCCTAGGCCTGTGACAGGCACGTGGCCAGCGCCCCGCAGAGCCTCCGTTGGAATTCTAGTCCCTGGCTTTGCAGCCAGCGTGGAAGCAGAGAACACCTCATCCCCCAAGTGCTCTTCCCACGTTAAAGGCACCAAACCCCGCCTGGGGATAATGAGGCAGAAGTGTCATCTCGTGGGCAAGAAATACCTGTCCAGTTACCTCCATCAAAAGGCAGGTAGGTGAAGCAGGAGCGTGAGGAGAGAAGTCAAGGAAAGCAGCTCTTCCTCAGAGACAGACCAGTGGCCTCAGCTGGCATCTTTCCAGAACTCTTCACTGAGACCCGTGACAGCCTGTTGTTCTCATTCACGAGCCCACCTGCCTCCTAGAGTGGTGTGGGGGCAGGGCGCAGACCCCAGGCTCCCCGTCCACCCTCATGTCTTCTTTGCTCTTCCTTCTTCCTACCTCCCTTCTCCTCCCTTTCTTTCTCTTCTCTTCTTTCCTTTTTTTCTTAAACCACTGGGTGCACAGCATGATCAAGCCACATTCCTGGGGGCGCTTGTCTAAGCAGACTCGTTGGCCCCAACAGTGGGCAGCACTTGGAGACGTGGCTTTGCAGGGTGGCAGGGGAGGGGCCAGGCAGCCAGGATCAGTGGGCAAGCCTGAAACCTCAAGAGGGAGACAAACAGGGATGGCGGGTTAGTACTCACCGTTTGGAGTCAGGTATGCCGGAAAGTTCTGAAGACACAGCCTGCCAGGAGCTGGTGATGAGTGCTATCACACCCCAGGCTCCATTCTGAACGTGTTGTATGTATTGCCAGCCTACTGTTTAATGTACACAACCACCAGATCCGAGGCCAGCACTACGATCGTCCCCCTTGTCAGATGAGAAAACGGAGTCAGCTTGAACTTGTCCATGCGTGCAGCTAGGAGGTGGAGGACTCGCAGCTGGGCAGTCTGGCTCCAGAGCAAGCTCTTGGAACCATTTTATGGCATGACCAGTGTTCTAAGGGCACCTGTGCACCCGGCCACATGTTCATGATGGAGGCAGGACCGGTGTTGGGGTGTCCATTTTTCCAGCTGAGGCTTAGGAAAGAAATGAAGCGGCTTGCCCAGAGGTCAAGGTGAGGGGTAAAGCTTAGTCTGGGACTGCAGATTTCTAGCTTTCTGCCCTGTGCACCCTGCCCCAGGTCAGGTGTGTCTGGGCGGGGCCTGGGCATCAAATAACAGGCATCAGAATTGGAGGTGTTGGCCCAGACAGAGACCAGACCCTGGGGCCAGGCAAGGGGTGGGTACTGAGCACTGGGTGAAGGTGTGACCTGCCGTGGGGAAGGAGGCGGGCATCCCAACAGACTGTCCAGGCAGCAGCAAAAAGTGGGAGGAAAACACCTTTGTTGGAGAGCTGCTGTATGCCAGGCACTTTACCTACAATGTTGGGGCTTATTTAATCCTTACAGAAGCCCCAAGAGGCTTCTCATTTTAGACATGAGATGGTATCAGCAAGACTGGGCCCAAGTGCCCCAGCCAGAAGGTGGAAGAACCAGAATCCCAGCTCGGTTTGGGCACCTGAGCCTACGACCCTCTCCTCTTCGACCGCACGCTGCAGGCCCGAGCTCCAGCGAACTCCCAGTCAAGAGCAGGAACTCTTCTCAGGGGGGTGCAGGGGCCTGTGGGTCAGCTGGCTGGAGTCTTGTGGGGCTGAGAGCATGACCATCTTCATCATTCTCCTTTGGGGTCAAGCCCACAGCAGCCTGAAGTTGAGGTCATCTCTTAGGCTGAGGCTGCCTTCAAACTTCCTGGGTGGGCAAAGCATAGGTGGGAGCAGAGGGCATGTGCTGTGCCCTTGAGTCACCCTGCTACACATGCTGTGAGCCCAGGGGCAGCTCTGCCTCTGTGGGCTGGAGAGGGGCATGACAGGGTGTGCCGGGCTGGCTCATTGGCACAGCACAGTCACAATGCCAGGACTTATCATCCCCCTTACAGATGAGGGAGTGAGGCTCGGGAAGGCTACTCGGCTCCCAGCCAGGGCCTGGTAGGGCTGGGAGCAAGGCTTACTCACCCCCAAACTGTATCCCATGTCCTACAACCCTGGGTCCAAAGACAGGTGCAGCAGCAGCGGCCATGCTGGGGTGACCTCAGCTGCAGGGTCTGGCATGGGGGACATGGTGATGAGGGACCAGGAGGGCAGGGCCTCGAAGCAGCCCAAGATCCCGTCTCCGAGAAGGAGGGTGAGAGTGGAGAGCCTGCTGTGGGCCCAGGGTCCCGATCCATGGAGCCCAGTCCAGCAGGGGGTCTGGCCAGCTGCACTGGTCCCATCAACCAGTTCAGGGCCAGTTCCAGGGTTCTGGGCTATATGTCTACTGGGAACAATGCTCCAGCCAGGCCAGGAGTGAGGAATGGGGCAACAGGTGTCAAGAACCAAGGAGAAAGTCAGGGTTCAACAGGGGACCAAGAGGGTAGGGTGAGCGAGGACCTCTGAGTTGAGGAAGACCTATATTTCTTGTCTAGGCCACTTAGTAGCTGAGTGACCTCGGGTAAGTTACTTCACATCTCTGAGCCTCACTATGTTCATCTACAGATGGGGAGATAATGCAGATAAAGCCCCTGGCACAGGGAGCATTGGGCCAGGAGCCTGGGCAGCTGGTGGGAAGGCTGCCCTGGGCCCTGGGTCTGTGGCCACACGACTACTCCCAGCTTCTATGTGCTGGTGGGGCTGAAATTCCTCGTGAGATCCTGCTGGGGTCACAGCTGGACTGGGAACTGGGGTGACCTCAGCCAGTGGGTGGAAGGAAGCAGAGACTCAGGCCCTGGGCAAACCCACCTGATGCTGCTGCCACCAAGGAAGTGACGGTGGAAAAACAGACACTAGATGCTTTCACTCAGAAAGTCCGTGAAGTTGAGATAAGCACAGGCTTTAAATTCAACCTCCACTGGAATCAAGTCTTCTCTCAGTGAGACAGGAACCAGCCTAACAAGACAGGACCATCTGCAAGGCCCCTAAGGCCCTAACAAGATTAGCCTTAACCAATCGGCAGGCTAGGAGAATCAGATAGAGGCCACCCAGCTCCTCATTCCACAGCCTCTGGACTTTTCTGGGCTCACACATGCACCCTAGCACCCAGGAGACCCACTGAAGGTGACCCTAGCCCCATCAGCATAGTAAAAATCACGGCCAGGGTGGAGAGCTAGCATGCTAATGGTACATGCATCGCATGAGGTGGCATGTTGAATAGCGCAGGCGCAAGCACAACCCCGCCTCTACATGCTGCGACAAGGCCCCCCTCCCCAGCCTTTGCCTGTTAAAAGCCCCACAATCCAGCTCCCTAACGAGCCGGTCACCGCCCCTTTCCTTTCCGCAGCGCGTCCCTTGTGCCTCTCCTGTGCACAGGCTAATAAGCTTCTACTTTTCTACTCCAGTTTGGTGTCTCTCACGATTTCTATCCTCGGGGACAATGAGAACCCAATGTGCTGGTAACATTCTCTCAACTGACTTCTTGCCCTCTCTCTTCAACCTGGAGTTCTGTATAAAAGCTCTGCGTGGTCTCAGCAGCTGGCGTCCTGCAGTGACCTCCTCCCACATCACGTCCATGCTGATCAGCAGGCCCCGAATCTTCTCTCGGAGCACGGGGCTGAAGACGGCAGAGTGAAGGGTCTTTGCTAATAAAACCCACCCCTGGTTCAAGTCCCCTCATGTCCCCAGGCACAGAGGAACTGGTCACCCACTAGTTGAAGAGTCAACTAGTTGGGCTGCCTCTGGCTACTTTGTTGAATAAAAGGAGGAAAATGAAGATGTGTATGGTCTGGAAATATACAAGGGTATGCACTAAAAACTGCTGCTTGGGATTAAATCAGAGAACCGTTAGACAAAGGCAACTTGTTCGGGGATCTGCCCTCACTGAAAAATCCCCTTCTCTTTAGCAAGTTTTGTTAACTCCCCAAAACATGTGAGCTAGTTCCACAAGCCTGTTGGGGTCACATGGGACTTGAGACCCAGAGCAGCCAAGCCCCATGAGCTGCTATTTCAGTGACTGGGGGACACGGACGCCTCAACTCACCCTCTTCCCGTCCGCCTGCAGATGTATTTTTATTTTCCTTCCTTCCTCCCTGGGAAGGAACGATCTTCTCTGAAACCCGCTGGGGTGGCTAACAAAGAACAGTGGGCAGAAGCCTGGACAATCCCCCATCAGCCACACAGCCAGCCCCGCCTCCCCCCGGGAAGCCGGCACGGATGCAGCTGCCATGGCATCACCACCGCCGGCCACCCTCTCCTGCTCCCCTTCACGCCGGTTGCATACCATCTCACTAACAGGCACACTTCTTCTGCTTCCTCTGTAAGCCCTCCCCCTTCAACCGAGCATGTGACGTGAGACCCCCGCTACTCCTCCCTGTTAGCTCCAGGGTGGTCCCCACGTTCGAGCGCAGAGACTGCTGTTTTACGTTAAAATAGACACGCTGCCCACCTGTAAAACCCCAGAGGTGGAGATGAGTCACCAGCCAGATGGACACCCCAAATGATCAACAGCACGAAAGAAGGTGAACAAACCAAGGGGGAGGTTTCAGGTTCCTCCAAGGGGAGGCGAGAGGGAAGAATTTATTTAAAAAAATTTTTTTTAATTTATTTTTTAGGTATCAAGTTTCAAGAAACCTTTCAAGGGTGTTGTCCTCAGTTCTCTGGAGGGATGTGTACCAGTCTGAGTCAGTGGGGAGCATAAGCTGCCGCCACTGGGTGGATTACTGACGGCCTCCGTGTATCAGCTGTGTGCAGGCTGCTGTGGAGCCCGCGCACCTCAGAGGAGGGCGCGCCGATTTCTAGCTCTCGTGTTTGCTGCATCGCGGGGGCAAGCTCTGGTCCTTCTGCTCGACTCTTGAGAAAGAACTCTTGGTCTGATCTAGTTCCTTTCTCTCTCTGATTCCTAAGCCAGCCCGCTCCCGCACGGTGCAGACTGGTGGAAGCCTTCAAGGACTCTGAAAAAATCTCTTACTATTCACGTCAAGTGATCATGACTATGTGGGGCCACAGAACCTGAGGGGCTCCTTTTGAAATAACAGCTTCAACATATACAACTACCCAAAATAACCCAGGACAAAGCAGCACCTAACTCTGCTGCCCAAAGCTTCAGAGCTCTGCTGGGGTTAGTGACAAATGAGCCAGGACAGTGAAGGGGCTGCTGGCCCCACTCTGGACATCTCCTGCCCTGCCCCGCTCTCCATCCTCTCCACCTGCTCCTGGGCCGCGGTTCGGTCCACCGGGACTGGGAGGAGGTCGGAGCGGGACACAGCAGGCCGGCAGGCCCTCCCCTCGCCCTTCAGGCTTGAGGTGGAATGGTGTCACATTACTAGTTCTGGGATACGATGCCCGACCCCTTAGGGTTCCTACATCCACTCTTCACATAGCCTCAAATTACCCAATTTGAGTATGCTGGTTCCTGCCAGGACCTTGAGGAATAAGGCCCCAGTAAGGCTTTCATTAAATACCCAGGTATTTGTTATGCCCTTGAATCAATGGCCTTGACACGTTGTAAACAAGGACTTAAAAGACCCCACCTTGACTCAGGCCACAGACCACTTTAATGACCCCTGTCTGAAAACGCAGGCCTCACATGCTTGGTCCCTGGTACAGGGAGGCCCTCTGGAATGAAGGTTCCTGGAAAGTTTGTCTTTCTGGGGTTCCCAGTCTGGTTGGTGGGTGCTCTCTCACCCACAGAAAGCAGGGATCTGTGCAGGCTTGGGTCTCAGGCCTGAGGACTGGCCATCCCAGGAGGACTTCCATTCCAGGGGGACCCCCTCTGGCAGGGAGGGCTGAGAATTCTCACACCTTGCTGTAAGCTGGAAGGAGCAAGGCTGTGAGAAGGGAGGCCGCCTGCAGTGGGCTGTGGCACTGGCCTGTAACAACTCAGGTGAATGCTGGCAACACAGTTCCCAAGAAGCTGGAAGGAAAGGCAGCACGTAACCACCAGCCAGGAAAGCGATAGCCCACCGCGTAACTGTCTAACTGTGTCTTAAGATGTCTTTTGGTCTTCTTCAAACATCTCAGGAGCATTCTGTTAAAGAGTCTGGAATGTCTCTGTCTGGCACGGGGACAGCACAGGTCACCAGCTCCTTGGGAAAGATGGGGCCTGAGTGTGCGGTGCTCTCTGCGCTGAGCCCACCTCCAGCCCTTCCTGCATGCCGCCTGAACCCTCCCGGCAGGTCCTCCCCATCTCACTGAGCATCCTGCAGGCTTCGACGTTCTTGCCATCGGCCCCCTAGATGAGGTGCACGAGCAGGGTGGAGAAGGCCGAGCCAAGCACCAAGCCCAAGTACAGGTAAAAGGACATGACCACCCCCGTGGCCTCAGCCAGCTCCCTGGGCACGATCTTGGGCCCGTAGATGAGAGGCAGGGTGCTGAGGTAGCCGTTGCTGAGCCCCAGCAGGGAGGTGAAGACCACCGGGTAGATGTCGGACTGGAAGACCACCGTCTGCAGGTGGACGCGGGGCTGGTAGTTGCAGAGCACGAGGAGGGGGACGAGGCAGGTCCGGAGGAGCGCAAGCCCGGGGAGCACCTGACTTCTGGGCCCGGGCACCTGGATCCAGGCTGTGATCTGCCGGCCACACAGATCAGCAAAGTTGTACAGGAGGAAGGTGGTGAGGGGCACGAAGAACTTGGTGGTCCAGAGCGAGCCGGAGCCCTTGTTGAGGGACTCGATGTTGGCGGAGATGGCAGGGAAGACGAGGCTGGTGATGAAGAAGAGATAGATGACGCAGAAGCCCAGGCTGGCTGTCTTCTTCAGGATGGGGCGGAGTGGTGGCGTTGGGGAGTCACTGGATCTGGGGGCCACCAAAGGGGCATTGGGGCAGTCCTGGGGTGGCTGCTCTTCATCAGAAAAGACGTGGGCCGGCCAAACAGGCTTCATGTAGTACCTGCAGGGGAGAGGGCACGTAGTCAGAGGGCCTGGAAAGCAAGGTCACTTGGCATTTCCAGGGACAAGGCGGGCGGACCTTTAGGCCCAGCATGTAAAGCCTAAGCCTCATGTAGCGTGCGGCCCCAGCACGCCCTCAGAGGACGTATGTGCTGCAGGCGGCCAGAGAGAGCCCTGCACTGTCCCCAGCCTGCCTGTCCTGGCTGCCTGAAAGGCTGGACTCCAGTCCATTGCTCTGTGGTGGTGGCCATGTCATGCGCAGGGACAAGGGAAACCAGCACTGACCACCATGGGGAGCCTAGCTTGGCTTGCTTGTTTTTGTTTTGTTTGTGGGGGGGAGGGTGAAGACAAAATAGTATTAAAAATATAAATTTTTAAAATTATAAAAGTAGGGGCCAGCCCCGTGGCCGAGTCGTTAAGTTCGCGTGTTCCGCTTCAGAGGCCCAGGGTTTCGCTGGTTCGGATCCTGGGCAGACATGGCGCCACCTGTCAGGCCACGCTGAGGCGGCGTCCCACATAGCACAACCAGAGGGGCACTCACAACTAGAATATACAACTACGTACTGGAGGGCTTTGGGGAGAAGAAGAAGGAAAAAAAGATTGGCAACAGATGTTAGCTCAGGGCCAATCTTTAAAAACAAAAATTATAAAAGCAACACATGCTTGATGCAATGAACCCGAATAACACAGAAGAGAAACGCTACAGTAGAACGAGTGCCCTCCCTCGGCTCTCACTCCTTAGAGGCACTGATGGTTAAACGTCTGGTGTACACTGTTGCACGCGCGTGCAAATGCCCACCCCACACAAACATAGTTAGGGTTCTACGCAAAAGTGGGATCAAACTATACATACTGTGAAACTTTCTACAAAGATCTACTTCCTAAATATATAAGTAATATATATATGAATAAACTACGTATCTGCCTAAATACATGCATAACTAGTATACATAAATGCATACACATAACTGCCTAAACGACAATATCTTGTGGCCATCCTTTCACATGGGGACACAAGGTTCTGTGTCTCTCTGCTGCATTGTTGCACATTATTTCACCGTATGGATACACAGTTTAACTGCTCCTCTACTCACGGAATTTAGGTTAGCTCCAATTTTTCTCCACTACAAATAATGGTGCAACTAATACCCCTCTTCATAAACCCTTGCACACGTACACTAGAATTTCAGTAGTGCCGACTTCTAGAAGAGGAACTGTTGAATCGAAAAGTTTGTACTTTTAAATTTTTTACGGATATTGATAAACTGCTCACCAAATATGTAGGGTCAATTTATATTTGGTCTGTACCACCCACCTACCCTAACCTAACCTGTCCTTTTAATCTCTATGTGAGCACCAGTTTCTTTAAAAAAAAAAATGACCACAATTTATAACCATTGCATTTGTTTACGGGTTTCTCATTTGTCTCCTTCAATAGAAGGCAGCTCCCTGGGGCAAGGACCATGTTTGGCTGTTTCTAGCTAAATCTCTGGGCACAGAATAGCCCTTCAAAACATAATTACTGGAAGAATTGACAAGCCTATAATAGAGTCTTCTCCCCCATATCCTCATCACTGAATTATCAGTCTTTTCAACGTCTGCTAGCCCAACCAGAGAAGAAAAGGCTTGGGTCACTCTGCCTTGCTGTGTGACCTTGCTGGAGTCACTCAACCTCTCTGGGCCTTGGGCGTCTAAGAACCAGGAGACACAGGTTGACTGTGTTAACACGCCTCAAACAGCAGGCTTGGTGCGGGGGTGGGAGAACAGGAGCTTGGTGATCGCCGGGTCTGGTTTTACTTCTACTTCTGCCTCCTGTGTGACCTTAGGCCAGGCGCCCCCTTCCCTGGACCTCAGTTTCCTGCTCTGCAAAATGGAGGAGTCCTGCAGCCGTGAGCTTTTCAGATCCCTGCGTCCTCCCATCCTAAGAGCCTACAGATAACGAGCGAGTCGGTGGGAGAATCGTTTTCCACGTTGTGCTGAGCAGGGCGCTTCGGCCTGGAACCCTGTCTTGTTTCATAGTCACTATTTAGGGAAAGGAATGTTCTCACTTCCCCGTCTGCTCCTTGCCTTAAGTCTGCTCTGAGGCAACCCCACTGAGTTCCTCTGGGTGAAGCTCTCCCTCATAAGTTCCTCCACATCTGCCGGCCTCATCTCCCCGCCTCCGTCAGAGCCCCAGCTCGGCATGCGGCTCAGTTCCTCCTGCGTGGGAGGGGGCACCCCGGCCCTCCCGGGGCAGCACCTGCAGGCTCCCTTTTAAGGATGATTCCACCTGAGCAGCCCCTGGAGCACAGATGCCCTAAAACTCCATTCTCAGATGAGTTTCTGTAAACCCAGAAGTCAGTCGAGAAACGGCAGAGTCGGGAGTTCTCCATCTCACGTGCTCAGCTCGAAAGGGTTTGGGCCTCCTCCAGGCAGACTGGAAACTAGGGTGGCCGGCTGCAACTGTCCTGGTGTCCCCACTGAAGGGCCCTGGCCCTGGGACCCCCTTCAGTCCCAGGTACCCCACAAGAAACACCCCCGGGAGGCCCTCTGAAACAGGACTCGGGGGACGCAGGAGCAGTGGCGGGGCCCCTGCCTTCCGTTCAGTCCGCGACTCGGAAGAATGTAATCAGCAGCAACAAGGTGCCAGGCAGCGTGTGGGTGCCAGGGGACAGTGAGCCAGGAATCACAGGGACACTGTCTCAGAGCACACTGGGCAATTTCTGACGACGGCCCTGAAGGGACGAGGAGGGGCTGCCCAGGCTCATGGGTCCGTAGCCATCTGGGATACTGGGGGACACAGTGCCTGGGGCCACTGAGGCCAGCTACAGCCACGACAGTCTTCCAACTGGGGAGAGCAGCCTGCCTGGCGGAACTGGGGTTCTGGTGAAGGCAGGGGTCTCTGGGGATTAATGAGGTGCCTCTCCCAGGGACAGGAGGAATGGAGGAAGAGGAAAGACCCTGGAGGTCACAGGCCAGGGACGCAGGATGACGCAGTAGAAAGACTGCAGCTCCGGTTCAAAGCCCTGCCCAGGATTCACAGGTGAGCCACCTGGGCATGTCAGTTAACTCCTCAGTCTCCCCCGCTGTGAAACAGGAAACACAGGAATAACCGCACAAGGCTGTCAAGTATAACAAATGAAACAATGTACACCCAAACTGCTCAGCTTGGCGCCACCACACAAAACAGGCTCCTGCAGGAAAGGGCAGAGCCAGAACCCCACCCCCAGCGACCCCCGGCCTTGGCTGTCTCCGTTTCTTCACCCGTAAGATGGGCAAAAGGACTCTGTCTTTCCTTCCTCAAATAAGATAACGGATATGAAAATGCTTTGAAAAGAATAAAGTGGGAGAAGAAGTCAAGGGTTGTTTTTTAAAGAGCAGCAGGAAGCAAGAAAGAAAATGGAGGCAGGAGACAGAGAAAGCAAGAGAGAGACCAAGGCAGGAAAGGAGGCCCCGCAGGGCGGAGAGAGGCCCCGGGAGACGGGTTAAAACACAGGTTTGGGGTCGGGTTCGAATCCTGATTCTGCTGCCGACAGGCTGTGGGGCTCGCACAAGGAACTCAGCCTCCTGAGCTGGGTTTCCTCGTGTGTGAATGGGAACCATCACGACACATGACAGTGCTGCGCCCTCTGAGGAACATGTGGGTGAGCATGGACCAAGACCGCCCATCAGGCGAGGCTGAGCACAGGGCAGGAGCAGTTGGGGTGCTCAGTGCGTGGAGCTGTTATTCGCTATTACTCCTCCTCAGGCCTCACTTCCCCCGCCTGCCCTCCCCATCCGAAAACTTGCAGACAGGGGGTGCTTGGGCGTGTGGCACAATGCTGACTTCTCACGTCCAGCGCCTGGCCAATCTATTGAGCAACTACCATGAGCCAGCACAGCGTGAGGCACTGGGATGCAGCAGTGAACAAAATTCACCCCATTCCTGCCCTCCGGGGCTCACACTCCAGCAGCAAGACAGACAGTAAACAAGGAAACACACCTGCCACCTAGTTAGACGACAGAAGAACCCAAGTAGACAATATAAAGGATAGCTGTACACAAAAGAAGAATGCACTAGAGTGCACGGGGTGGGGCCTCACCTGGCGTACTCCAGCCGGGGCAGCAGCAGGTAGAGGCCGATGCAGAGGCTGAGGAAGACGTCTGCAGTCAGGAAGAAGGCCAGGGCGCTGTCCGTCACATCGCTGGACGCCGCCAGGTCCACCAGCGAGGCCACGGCACTGATGGTGCCCCCCATGCCTCCCCCTACAGAGAGCACGGGACACCACGGAGACGGTCAGGGCTGGGTCCGCCTTCCCCAAGTCTCAGACCTGCCCCTCTCTGCTTGGGTTTGACAGAACCCAGATAAAAATTCCCCTGCTAGAGATGCTGCAGTCCTCCCAGTGTCCCGCAGCCTTAGCAGACACGACGGGGCTCTGCAGCCTGAGCCTTCTGCTCTGAGAGGGTGTGGGTTTTCACGCCCGAGCCCCAGTCTCTTGCATGCGCTGGTAAGAGGCTGCTGCCTGAGGTGGCAAATGGCCTCCAAGGTTTCATCTCCGACCCTTGACCTCCATCTCTCTCTCGATCGCCCTTCTGGTGGGGTCAGAAATTTTAGATTCAGGGGTGGGACATCTCAGAGAGTTCCTCTCCCCTGCCCTCGGCCCAAACCACCCACCAACCAAACGGGGAAAGAGGCTCAGGAACGTGCCAGTGCAGGCTCTCCCGCTGCCCCCAGCGAGGCTGTCCTACCTGGGGAGTCCTTATAGTCACAACCCCTGTGCACCCACCCGGGAGCTCACGGAACTCACCTCGCACCCCGCAGCAGCTGGGGCACCACACGTGTGTGAATGCGTGTGTGATCACACGTGCACAGGCTCACACACACATGCCCTATCACATACACACACTCATATATACACACATACACATACACCCGCTCACACGTACACACTCACAGCCACACACACACACTCACACGCATGCGACTGCCTCACCACATGGCACAGTCTCGCTTGTCAAGGGCTCTGACTCATGACCCCATGTGGCCATGTGGCACCATGCCTGTCACTGCTCCCTAACAGGAGACAGGACAACCTAGTGGACCCATGGTCCTGGAGCCACACACCACACGTCTGTCCCGACTCTGGATTTCAATTTGCCACTGTGACGTAGGGGGCTAATGCGACTTCTTGGAGCCACGGTCTGCTCGTCTGTAAAATGGGACAAGGACGCCTGCCTTACGTAGCTGCTTTGGGGACTCGATGAGACGATGTTCGGAGAGGGCCCGGCACGCGGTAGACTTTCAACACACGCGAGTCCCCTTCCTTGCCTCAGCCACGCAGCTGCTTCCGGGAGGCAGGGCATCTGTCTCATGTTTCTTTGAACCCTCACAACCACGGGTAGTCAGCTTGTGCTGGCCGAGAGTCAGAGGTCACGCGTGTTACACGTGGAGCAGAGCATCTCCTCCTCCCTGCCTCTGTTTACCTGCCTGTCCCACCCCTCACGTGAGACCACGGTGAGGGGGAACTGGGACAGCAAGTGGAAAAGGCACTGGATACACAGACACGGCCGTCAGTGTCAGTACCGTAAGCGCCTGGTGCATCTGCTGGACTGACTGGCTGGAAGAATGAATTTCGATTCTCAAGGAGGCAAGAAGGCGCTGACTGCAATCAGCAAGCAGCAAACCGGCCCGTGAGGCATGAGGTGCTTCGGCGTTACCGGGCGGCTCTGACCGGGCACCCTTTTTCTGTCCCTTGGTGCACGGAGCAGAAATGGGAGAGGGACAGTCAGGCCCTCGGCCACCATGCTGCCCCTCATCACTGCCTCACCCACGCTCTGCCCGACATCCCTGTGGCTCTGCAGGAACAGCCCACGGCCCGAAATGGATGATCTTTTCTCCCTAACCTTCTCAGTATGAGCTCTATTAGCCAGAGGCTGAGATTTGAGGGGAGGGCAAAGAAATATGTTAACATTGTGATGAAGCGCACAGACCCAAGAACCAGAAGGTCTGAGTCCAATCCTAGCTTTACCACTCCTAGCTGTGTGACCTTCAGCAAGTCACTTAACCTCTCTGTGCCTCTGTTTCCTCAACGATAAAATGAGAATGTTAATAATACCCACCTCTTAGGGCTGTTATGAAGATTAAGAGGATTATTACATGTAAAGCACTCAGAACAGTGCATGCCACAGGAAGTGCCACAAATCCTCTCAGCTTCCCAATCAGGTGTTTGGCTCTTTCTGTCCTTCCTACATCAAAGCAGCAACAACAGGGTAAAAACCCTTTGCCAAGAGGGTGCCAACTTCTGAGAAGCTGTAATCCCCACCTGGGCGTTTTGTAAGAACTGGGGTTAAATTCAGTGAGACGGTCCCCGGCTACCCGGGGGAAGAGATCTTAACATCGCTGCCTGTTGATTTTCCTCTCGCTTCCCAACTTGCAGGGAATTTACAATATTATCATCAACAACAAACCAGGCCTCCGGGAGCTCATCCTTCATGACTCCCTACTTTTATCTCATCAGTTATGGAAATACATGCAAATGAGGGGTTTAAAAACCCTCCAGTACAAAACAAATGAACCGCTCCTCAGATGCCAACGCGCGCAGAATTCACAGATGGGCTCTGCTGGACCATGGGAGAAAAGGGGGCTGGAGGCTGGTGCTGCGCCCAGGGGAGCAGGACGCCACGGACCTTCCAGAGTGACCGGCACCCACTGGGGCCGCACACAGTGGTGACAATGGCTTAAGGCCCAGGTAACTAGTAATGAAGTGTGAGTCCTAGACGTCTCCACTATTTCAAAATTGGACTTTCTGAAAAATTCATGGGAGAGTCCTCTTCTCTAGAAGATTCTCAGGTGGCCAGATGAACCTGAAGGGGCCCTGGGCAACACAGATGGTGTGTTTGGTCACTGGCTCCTGGAGCGGTAGCCAGCAAGCCTGTTCTATGAAAAAATACGTGCTCCAGCGGATGGAGGGGGATGAGGCATGAGAGCTTCCCTCCGAGCTGGGGTGACAGAAGAGACTAAAGCTGAGGTGCCGTGGCCGTCTCCCTCAGCCCAGGCAGGCTCTTCTTGAAGCACTGCTGGGGCGTACTGATCGCACCCAGGAAACTGCACAGTGGGTCCACTTCCATTTTATTTTAGGCCCGAGGGCTTCCCAGGATAGGGCCAGAAGCCTAAACTTATATCAAAAATGGCAAACCGATTTGAGGTTGCATCTTGGCTCTGATCGGTTGGCAGTAATGGCCTCCAGTGCTGTGTTGAGAAGCAGTGAGAGGCCCAAGAGGAGAGATGCAGACCCATTAGTGATGTCTGGCACTGGTGTGGGAGTGGGCAGGGGATATACACCTGTCGAGGTATTTGTCATCCCTGCCACCACTACCTGGCATTATCGATTATTGGGCACACAGCAGATTCTTTGTGAAATTCTTCTCAAGTGTGCAAATGCCCAGAGGACTCCTTTACACAGCGGGGATGTACAGAGACCCTGAACAGAGCAGCTGAGCCCCTAGTCTTGCTTTAAGGGATAGTGGTCTCCTGGGAAAGCACAGATTCTTACTGATTCAGCTTCTTTTTATCTTGTTGGGACATCTAGGTAAGAGAACCGGAACTGCTAAGGTCTAGATAACAGGCTTAGCATCAGCATCAAAATTCAGCTAAAGGGTCGGCCCAAGTCAGGCATCAGCAACCCCATTGAAGGGCAAAGTTCAGGGAAACAGAGGAGTTTATTTACTAGGTTTTCAGCTCCTGAGAGGCTGTCCTGTTCCTCTTTGAATCCCCGGCACATAGAAGGTCTTCTATAAAATTAGAGAGGAAGAAAAGACAGACAGAAGGGAGGAAAGAAAAGGGAAAGATAAAGGAAAGGAAAATAAAGAGAAGGGAAGGGACGGGCTTAGGGGTAGGGAGCAGGAGGGGAGGGCAGGAAGAGCACAGCCCAGGACCTGCGCTCGCTGGGCAGGCTGTGCTCTCCCTCGTCTGCAGCTAAGTCCCCCGCCTCCTCTTCTCACAGTGTGATTTTCAGACTCTGCCCCGAGACGTGTGGGTCGGTTCTCTCCCCTTGAGCCCAGGTGGGCTTGTGGCTATGGGGGAAGTGACGCTAAACAGCTTCCACAGTTAAGACATAAAAGGAAAGAATGCTTCTGCCTAGGGCTCTTGGGATGCTTGCTCTCACGACCCAGACACCAGGCCATGGGGAAGCGCGCGCAGCCGCATGAGGTCCGGGTGGAGAGAAAGCCCGGCCCCAGCCTCAGCGGAGCTTGCAGGCAAGGGCCAGCACCAACACGCCAGCCAGGCGAGCTCGCCACCTCGAAAGTGGATCCTGCAGGCCCCACTGGAGCTATACCAGCTGACGGATGCCATGTGGCGCAGAGGAGAGCTGTCCCCACCAAGTCCTGCCCGAACCCAGATGTGTGAGCAGAGGAGACGACTGTTACCGTCCTGAGCCACTAAGCTCTGGGTGATTTGTTAGATAATCACAGATAATGGAAACACACCTAACACTCATTTCCTGACCTCTGGATCCTTCCCATGAGCCCTAGGTGGACTGACCTGATCAGCTGTCTGACCCCAGCTCTTACCTGATATCAGGGCCTGGGAATTCCTCATAGGGAAGGAGCCGGTCATGCCCAAGACACTGCTATTGAAGATGGTGGAGGCGCCACTGAGGATCACCATGCAGATGATGATGACAGCAAAGAAGCCATGGGTCCAGGAGGAGGTATCCACCTTCACCAGCACGGTCATCACCACAAAGATGGCCAGCATGACAACCAGCGAGGCCAGCACACGGACATGAATCGGAACCCTAGGATGAGGATGCAGGAAGTGGTTAGAGACCCCCTCGGGCCTCCCATGCTGGGCCGGGGTTGGTGAACATTCTGGGAAGTAGGTGAGCTCAGTGGTTGGGACTGTCTACTCTGCAATCAGGAGGCCTGGGTCTGAATCCTGCCTTCCCGGCTCACGAGGCTTACCCTGGGTAAGTGGCTCAATTGCTCTGGTCTCAGCCTCTGCTTCTGTATAATAGGGAGGAGAGTGGATCTACCTGGGGTGTGGTTGTTAGGATCCCTGGAGGGGAGGGTGTGGAGGCCAGGGGGCAGTGCCTGACTCAGGGCAAAGGCCCAGGGATGGGTTTCTTTTTGACTTGCTGTGAGGTTCAAGGACAGGACATGAAAGCTCTGGAGACAAGCCTTCTCCTCCTCCTGCACAGGGCTGAGCTCCCGCCGGCTGCATCTACTGTTTAAACAGAGCAGCCACCCACTGGGACGCCTTCCCCCCAAACTTAGCAGGGGGGAGGAGGGAGAAGAGAAGAGAAGAAAATCATCATCATCATCATCATCATCATCATTGCAAACACAGTACTGAACTGGTGCTAGGTACTCTTCTAAGTGTCTCCTATGTGCGAACTCGTTGAATGCTCACACCAGCTCCATAAGATGGGTATTCTTACCCATCCCATATATACAGATAAGAAAATGAGGTCAGAGAGGCTAAGGAACTTCCCCAAGGTCACGGCTGTGAACCCAGGAGGTCTGGCTCCAGTCTGTGCTCTCAGAATGACTTCCTGCCTCCCCTGGAATGAAGGAAATATGGGTGGTCCAGAACAGGCGGCCAGGGCAGGATTCTCCAGTGAGGGTCTCAGTTGTTACGGGCAATCGCTGAGGCCAAGCCAGTGCAGCCCAGGGCCAGCTCCCCCACTCCCCCCAGTCCATGCCCACATGTAAGTCATATCCTCCTCCCAGCCCCCTACCCGCCCAGACACTGCCCTGCAGGGAGAAGCAGGGAAGGCTGGCTCTCTGAGAAACGGTGTTTTTATTTTAGGGAGAGAGAACATCATCTAAAGGGGCTGTTAAACCATCAGATTAGACTAAGCTTTAAACAAGATTGGACATTTAGTAAATTTTCCTGCTAACCAGTGGGTGAGGGCTGGGAGAAAAGCCAGATTAGTTATACGCAATTTTTTTTGGATACAATAGACAGACTTAAAAGGTAGAAAAAATATGTATGCACATAAATAGGTGTGAAATGATGAGCATGAAAAGTAAGAAAGGATTTCTTCAAACTGCTTTTGTGGTCCCAGGCTAATTTGAATTTCCTTCCCATCCTTGATCTCCAGCTGAAGGGGGAGCAGGTGCTGCTCCTGCTTCGTAAGGGGCAGGGGGAAGATGGAGGAAGGGGAAGGACAGTTCAAGGTCGTGGAGTGAGTCCGTGGGGAGCTGGGACGGGAACCCAGGTCTGCTGAGCCCCAGCCCACGGCTGTCTGCTGATGTGTGTTCTCCCTGGTGTCTTCATTCCACAGATGTGTACTGGGCACGTGCTGTGCTGGATGGCTGGGACACAGGACAGCCAAGGGACAGGCATTTTGATCTAGCGTGCAAAGTCCTAGTGTGCTGTATAGTCACAGGACATCCTGGGCACTTGTGAGGGACACAAACTCACCCTGGGTGTTGCACAGGCTTTTTGGAGGTGACACCTCAGCTGGAGTATAAGGTGTGTCTGGATGTGAGTATATATATCTTGTGAGAGATCGTGGCACGTTCAGGGAACTGAAATGGACTCTGGGGGACAGGTGAGACCGGGAGCGGAGGAGGCTGGAGAGACACGGAGCCCACGCTGGAGGGCCCTGTTCACCCGATGAGCACCAGGACTTGATCCTCGGAGCGGGGCATGGAGTGGACATATGGTCTCTGTCCACCAGCCCCCTTCCCCCAAGAACACTCCCTCTTCCATGCCAAGTCGTCTTGGGAGGTGGCTGGCCATATTGTCTAAGCGGACTCACCTACAAACGATGGGCACATGACTTGGTCCGGGGTGAGCAGACTGTCCCATGCCCCCCAGCCACTGAATTGGGTTTGGGATGAGCATGACCCAGGCAGGGCCAGTCCGTCGTCCCTGGGACTGAAAGGCAGAGTGAAGCTCGCTCTGCTGGGACTGTGTCAGGGGCCGCTGGTCACCACCTGGCCGGCGGCATGGAGAGAGGCGAATTCAGGATGAAGCCAAGTGGACACACACAGAGCCCAGGGATGGCACAAGAGAAGGAGAGCTCTGTGGACATTTGTGATCCCCCAGATCCAGCAAGGCCCGGAGGCAGAGCTGACTTTAATTTTCCAGATAAAGAATGAGAAAATTCCTTTTGTGTCTCTAATCATTTGTGACCAACAGTGCCAACTAACACAAAGGCTTTGCAGCTGGGGAGCGACATGGTCGGAAACTCCACCGCACTGTGGGCACCCTGCCTGTGTGACCCCTTCTTACCAGGAAGCAGGCTGCAAGGGACAGGCAATGAATACCTCCCAAGAGTAGCCTTCAGCCAGTGATGGGGAAGCAGGTGGATAAAGAGCCCAGCTCCCTCCCCTCGGGTGTGTGTTCCACACCGGCTCCTGGAGTTCCCAGGCAGGCCAAGCCGGTTGCCCTCTGTGGCAGCTGGCTTGATCAGGCATCCTTTATTGACTGTCTTCCCTTCCCTGTCTCCCTCTCCACTATCCTACCTTAACCTCCCAAATAAACAACTGGCGCTTCAATCCTTGCTCCAGGGTCTGTTTCGGGGGAACCACACACTAAGATTGCTGGGTCCATCTTCCCAGGGTCTGCAGGACCTCAGCCTGGGCAGGAGCGGGGTGGGCAGCCAGCTGGAGCACCTGGACCCCTGGGGGCCCAGAGCATCTACTGTGAGTGCACGCCAGGCCCCCTGGATGCTGGGGGTGATCCTACATACTCAATCCTGTCACAGAGCACCCCTCAACCTCCTGCAGCAGCGGGAGCTGCCCCACCCACCCCAAAGATAAGAGCCAGCAGGGGCACAGAGCGGGAGTCAGGAGACTGGAGCCCTGCCCAGCTCTGCCACCAACTCACTGCGTGACCCCAGGCAAATATTCAACCTTTCTGGGCCTGGTTCTGCATGTCAAAAAAGAAGAGGCTGGATGAGATAACATTCAGGTCCCTTCCAGTTTATGATTCTAAATTTGAAGAAATTCAAGCAGAGAGAGAGGCTGGGGACAACTGTCAAAAAGTTCTAACAGTTCCGTGGGGCAAGGAGAGGGCACAGGACAGACCAGGAGATAAGAGGAGCACGGTAAGGACAGGATGCTGTCTTGTCCCCACTCCCAGGGCTGGCACAGGGCCTGTGGACACCTGGTAAATATCTGCTGGGTGCACGAACTGATGAGCAGGGTGTCTCAGCGGTGCACAGTGGCTGCCACGCGGGGCCTGAACCTCCCGCTCGCTCTCTGCTTCCTGCCTCCTTGGCACGACAGGGACACAGCTGTGAACATCTGCAGGCTTTCCAGCCAGCCTGGGGACTGGCCTCTGCCCCCAACCACCTCCTCACAGACGCACAGAGAAAGTCCCCCCCGGAATGCTGCTGGCATCACGGTGGCTCTCCTGTGCCTGTCACAACAAGGTAATTAGTTGCCTGGACAGGAAGGTTGCTTTGGAGGGAGCTGGGGGGCTTCTCATGCAGGCACCCCCAGGCGGAGATAAGGGAAGAGTGGGAGATGAGGAGGTAAACGCCACACACGTTACAGAAGCAATGTGCTTCCACCTCTGCCTCTGCTGCCCCCGTGACCCCTCACCTGCACAGGTCTCCTCCTCGCCTGCTAATTGCCTGCCACGTAACCATTCTCCCTGGAGCCTCGAGCCTCACCCATGGGCTCCAGGCCCTTGGGGATCTCGCCTGGGGCTATTTTCAGTGCTCATAAAGCTTTATGAAATGTGCCACACACGAGCCTGCCTTCCACGCACTAATGGCAGCATGCTGGCTCCCATCTCTGTTTCTTCCGCCTCGGGCAGGGAAAGTGGCCCAGGGGACGGTGATGCTGTTGGGATTCTGGGGAAAGTCTAGGCCCCTGTTGCCCTGGTGTCGGTGGTTCTGCTTTGGGACAGCAGATGGCCAAGATGACCACTCTAGCCCCGGGACCCTGCGGCAGTCACACTAACGTGAGATTCTTGGAGACGGCTGCCAGCTGTACCCAGGCTGCCAGCTTCCCCACCCCTCCTTGTTCATGAGGGCTCTGGACCCCAGGGGACTATTTCTTCATAAGTCCCCCAAATGTAAATCCTCCTCATAAGTATTTATGATGCTGCAGATTTAACATAATAAAACACTTGGCGATTATGGATGAGCCAGTCAGAGAAAGCCAGGGTTCTCCAGGAGGGGAGAAAAGGAGACATTTCAATTTCGCACATTAAAGAGAAAACAGCTTAGCCCCAAAGCATGTTCCCACAGCTCAGAAACAGACGGAGGCCTGGGAGCATTTCCCATGTTGCCCTCACCCTCCTCCTGGGCTGGAAAGGGTAGGGGCAGGCCCCGGCGTGGGCTGGACCCTTCAGGACAATGCCCAGAAATGCTGAGCCCTCAGAGTCAGCTCCCCACCCAACCCAGGGAGGGCAGCAGCCTGGACGACCCAGGGTCCCTGCTGCAGACAGACACAGACCTTCTGAACCCCTCCTTCCTCCCAGCAGCCTGAAGCCAGGGCAGAGACGGGCTCTCACCAGAAGGGTCTGGGGGAGGCTCTGGTTGCAGGGACGGGACGGGCAAACTGGGGGGACTAGGAGGCAGGTGGCCCAGCGGTTCCAAGCACAGACGTGGGGCAAGAAGGGATCCAGTTCCAATCTGGCTCCACTCTCTTAACGGCTAGGCTAGGTGACCTCAGTGAGCCTGTTTTCCTATCTGTAAAACAAGGTCATAAGCTTCCTGTTCGCAGGCTGTTGTGAGGATAAAAGGAGATAATGAGGGCTCAGAGGTGCTAATGACTCTTATTAGAGATGACACTCCCAGGGCGCTCAGGCTGGACCTTCCCTGCCACTGCTGACCCCTAGTCCCGGGCTGGCTTCTGGCCTGCTGGACCTTATGACCACAGAGGAGGCAGTGCCAGCAAACGCCAACTCAGGCCACTCCTTACCAGCCCCATGGTCTTGGGCACGTCTCCTAACTGCCACTTGGGAAATGGGTAACGTCACGGCCTCCCTCCTGGGTCCTGTGCATCCTAAGTGATATAATACGGGGTCACCAGGCATCACACCCTTGTTACAGTACAGACAGTGACTCCAGATCTAGAAGGGGACGGGGCTCTCATTTATGCGAGGCTGGGCTATTCAGCTGGACAAACCCCCATCCCCAGGACCAGCTGAGCGAGTGCACAGAGAGGAAGATGAGAGAGGCCTGGAAAGGAGAGAGGGCAGTGAGAGGCTCAGCAAGTCTGCGCCACCACGGTGCTGCCACTTCCTCCTGTCCTCCTCCTCCTGTGGCCCCTACCTGCCCTCATGCCTCTCTTTCGAGTGCCTGCCAGGGACCCTGCTCTGCCCTCAGGGGCTGGCCGTGCTGAGGGAACACCTGGCTCTGCCCCCAGCTCCATCCCCTCACTCCTCCTGGGGTGGTCTCTGGAGGCTGCGCCCCACCTGCAAGAACACTGAACACGGCCCTGTGTGCCGGGGGCAGGCAGGAGGTGAAGGGCCCTCAGGCCATCGGAGCATCACCCTCCTCCTCGCTCTTCCACCTGCACTTTGGTTTTAAGAAGAGGGCAAATTCTTTGTCATCCCTTCCGTTGACAGGTGGGGACCATGTCCCCTTGAAGCCAGGTGGGCCTCGTGACTGCCTCGCCCAGTCGAGCGTGGCAGAAGTGACACTACGTGGCTGCAGAGCCTAGTGTACAAAGACCAGGCAGCTTCTGCCCTGCTCTCTTGGAGCACTTGCTCTTCAGCCACAGAGGAAAAGTCCCACTACCGGTGGCCAGCATGCGAGAGACCACAGGGAGAGACCGGAGAGCGAGACGGAGAGAGATGTGCCGAGGAGGCCCAGCAGCCCGCCCCAGCTGTCTGCAACCTGTCTGTGGGAGAGACACCAAGCCCGAGCGCCAGCCGAGCCTGCTGACTCCCAGAACCTGAGACACTAACTATGGTTCTCATTGTAAGCCACTATGCTTTGGGATCATTTTTACACAACAGCGGATAACTGGAACAGCCCATAGCATGCTTGGAAAGACTGGTCTATTCAGGCTTAGCTCACATGAAGCCCATGTGCTGCCCTCTCTCCTCCTGTACTCAGAGCAGACATCATTAATCAATCACAGCACACACAAACCCCCTACCCTCCGCCTCCTGGGGCCTGACCTGCCTTAGAATCGTGTTCAACCAGAGATCTAGACAGTCGCTACAAATTGAGCAGAGGTGGGTAAAACAGATTTGCCATCAGTGATCCAACGTTTCAGCAGGTGTACCCAAGAGAAGCCCCGGTTTCTGAATCATAACAATGTCACCGAGTGGTAGCTTAGGGGAAATGCAGGCAAAGTAGCCAGGGCTGCTGCCCTGCCAAACCCAAACAGAGAATGGATGGGAAAAGTCCCCCCCTGGGGTCAAAGGGCCGTGCTAATCTGTCTGGCTGTCTCCTAAATCATTCCCTCTTCCTCAGCACATCCAGAAGGAGGCTGTCTCCCGGCCCTTACTAACACAGCGTCAGAAGTTCCCTATGGACCCCTCTGAGTGATCGACACGTGGGCTAGTGTTACCAGCCCAGCACTGAGCAGTTTGGTCCCCACTCCCATATAGCAAGAGCCAGAGCTGTGGGATGCCAGGCTCTCAACTTCCGACTGCTCTCAGAAATGCCTGGAAGACCAGCTGCCATAGTTCTCACTCCCTGGGCCCCACCCTGCCGTCCACATGGTGTCCCCTGGCTGCAAGGCCTGCAGCCCAGGCAGCTGTGGACAGACAGGCTCCTGAGGGGAAAAGGGAGGGAGATGCGTGCTCCCACAGGCCTCCTGCTGGCTGCTGACATGATGTCACAGCGTGTGGCTGGACAGTGGAAGTCCACTCCTTGACTGGCACTCCACCAGCAGGCCCAGGTGACCTCCCAGTCTTCACAGAGGAGTCTGAGCTGCCCGCCTCCTGCTCTGGTGGCTGCCGTCTATGCAGGTGGAAAAGCAGCAGCCGTGGACGAAAGGCAGGTGGGGAAGGCTGGAGTGAGGTGGGGCCTGCGGGAGGGAGGACGGTGGCTTACCTGTTGACAAGCAGGAAGTTCGCCATGAGGCACAGCACGGACGGCACAGTGGAGGCGACGGCAAGGTAGCTCTCAAAGTAGTTCTGCAGGCACAGAAGCGAGGAGGCCGCTGAGGTCACGAGGATGCACGCCCACCCGAGAGCAGAGACAGGGCCCTCTCGGTGGTGCTTCTCCCCTGTCTTCAGATTCCTACAAGTGATGGGTAAGTCTCCCCAAAGACAGCATGGTCCTGCCCCATCTCCAACCTAAGACCACTCACTTGGTCACTCAACAAACACACACCAACATGAGCTATGGTAAGTGCTGGCACATACGGAAGGAGAAGACATTGTCCCTGCCCTCAGGGAGGTCCCTAATGCTCTGAAGCCCAGGTTTCCACCCATACTCCATCCCACCAAGGATGACTCAATGGGGTCAAGACTCGATATCCATAAAGAAAAACTTTGCCCTGCCAGCCTTCATAGCCACTGTCAAATTTCAGAGTTATCCAAACGGGTTTTGTTATGACCCAACCAGAATCTCACACTGTTGTAACCAAGTGAGGCCTCTTAGAAAGACGCCAGGCCCCGATCCTTGCAGGACAACTTTGTTCTGACTCCGGATTTGCTCCCTCAATAGAGCAGCTACCCGAGGCCAAAGCCATTTGGGGAAGTGGCTCCTAGACGCCAAGATTAGGAAAAAGGGCATTTTCCTAGAAGCAGCTTAGGGGTATTACAGACACAGAGTGCATGAGACCACAGACAGGATGAAGAGCTCCTGATTATAATGCGCTGGAACTTACAGCTAAATAAGCTGCATGGTAACTGTGTGTGTTGTTCAAAACTCAGAGAGCTTCCACTCATTAGGGTGGATTTCACTGTGTGTACATTATCCCTCAACACACCTGTCTTAAAATACCCAAAACCTCAGAAAGAGCTGACATCTCTTGGCTTTGGTCATTGTGTGTCACCCCACGAACCCGAGGTCAGCAATGATGGTGGGTTCTGAGCCGTGACAACAGCTCAAGTGTATGAAGCACTTACTGAGCGCCAAATACAAGGGGTTTATATGAATCATATTGTTTACCCTGAAAAATAAAAAAGGAGCTGTGAGTATTTTACTCCAGAAAGCTTATGAAGTTGAACTTAACTGAGGAAATACTTTGAGTTACAAATCTGCCTAGTGCAAAGAACCATGTGTGCAAACACTCGCCAATGTATGAGGAACCCTGGCGACTGTAGGGGTCGCTACAGAGTCTCAGACGTGCCTCCCCCCTTTAGGAACTGGGCGGCCCACGGGGAGTGTAAGAGAGCTGGCGAACGTCTTTAACATCTCAAAACACCACAGGATGAGACGCCAGAATTCCCTGCCTTTTTGCCAAACCAGAGGTAAGAGCAGTGAGTTCTAAGGGAGTTCCAGGGAGGGGGTGGCACGAGGCGGGCTGAGCACCTGACAGAACTGGAATGAGTGGGTTTGGGGAAAGGTCCAGGGGAGGGGATCTGAGTCATCCCTGGGACAGAGGTCAGATCTCTCTTTTCTGGGAGATTTGTGGCGGCCAAGAAAGGAAGATGTCATAATGGGCTCCAACCAGGCTGAAGCACAGACCACTCCACTGTCCCTTTTTCAGCCTGCAGAGCGTTTTGTGTCTTTGAAATCTGCACCCTGAATATAAGATCCTGGTGGCCCCGCAATTAAAATGATAATCACAGCTAGTGCGGTCCATCAACCATGAGCCTTAGAAATAGCCTGCCTCCTTTGCAGTGCCACCTCATTGTTCCTGCCCTGATGGGCTCAGTAGAGCCTGGACTGGCCGAGGCACTCAGTCAATTACATCTTGACACAGTGGCTGGGCCTATGTGAGCACAGGAAGGCTCCAGGGGGGAGCAATGGAAAAAAGCCCCAGGGAAGAGATGGCTGTGTGTGGCGGCTAAGACTGCGGCAAATCTGAGCCCCGAGGTGGCTCCCTTTGTGCAGGGGCCACTCATTCCACGGCTGTCTGTGAACGGCCATCGTGTGGGATAGGAATCTCCCTCTTTGTTTTTTTTGAGCAGGCTCAGGTTCCTTGACGTCTTAGGAATGGGGATTTTCTAGGTAATTGAATGTTCTGGTTTGTTGATATTTAAGCAGAAAATGGTTCCTTTAATGTTGGAAAGCTTTTTAAATATTGACAACTGAATAAGGCTATGACTCCCTGTCTGTTGACCGAGCCCGTTTCTCTGCTTTACGACGAGCATGCGGGAGCGAGAATGGACTTGCCCTGGGCCATCTTTTTACTGGTACCGATCAGGGGCTGCGGATGGTGACAGAGGTTGACTTAGCACATCCCACGGAATTTATTTTTTTAACTTAATTCCTAATAAACATGTGGCGGTTCTTACTTATTTGCTGCTTTTGCCTGTAAGTAGAATTCTAGCAAAATGAGGTGATGTGGGCAGATTCTTCAGGTGGCCCCCATGATCCCAGCCTCCCATGTTCACACTCTTGTGGGATCCCCTCGGCTCAGTGTGGATGGGACTGTGACTTGCTTCTAACCCAGAGAATATAACAAAGGCGACACGAGCATGTGTACAGGATCACGGGAGTATGTTACACGAGATGGGAGCGCCAGTCTCACTCGACTCTTTTTCTCTCTTGATGGTTTGGAGGAGCCAGTGGCCATGCTGGGGAACCCCACGTGGCAAGGACTACAGGTGACCCCTAGTTGCTGAGTGTTTCTGACCAACACCCAGCAAGAACCTGAGGCTCTCAGCCCGCCAACTGGAAGGAAGTGAATTCTGCCAACAACCCCAGTAAGCCTGGAAGTGATGCTTCTCCGGTCGAGCCTCCGCAGAGACCGCGGCGCTGGCTAACCCCTTGACGCGGCCAAGTGAGACTGGAGCCGAGGACCCAGTGAAGCCAAGCCCAGACTCCTGGCCTAAAGATACTGTGAGATAATAAACATGTGCTGTTCTAAGCCACAAAGTTTGTAGTATTTTGTTACACAGCAATACATTCCTAATTAATAAGTGTTTCGGAGAGCTGAGTTCCTACTGACGAGGGTTTTCCTGAATACGGCAGCCTTTCTGTTGCAGAGGCTCCTGCTCCTCGGAGGCTGTGGGACGGACCGGGTGACACCCTCTGAAGGGCAGGGGGAGCAAAGCCCCACGAGGCAGGCTTTGACCAAGGAGAGGCAGGAGATGGGAATGAGATGAGAGACAAGTTGCCTGCCTTTCCTCTCCCCTACCTATGGTTCTGAAATGTGGCGGCTCCCTGTGGCTCCTCTGGAGTCACCTCGTGGGCCTGAGTGGCCAGCTGTTTTGCCGCAAAGCTGTGGGCAGCTCAGGACCCCGAAGCCTGTATTTGCTCTCTTCTGCCCCTGCCCCACCTCCCTCTTCCCTCATTCTTACTTCTCTAGGATAGCACTCTCTGACGGACCATGTGCACAGGTGTGGCCTCAGGCTCCTTTCTAAGAAACATTCGACAGCAAGGCCAACACTGAATTCTTGATTATGCACTTTGCAGACCTGCAGTGGGCATTTCCTTCTTGGGTCCATCCCATTTGCTTCCAAGCAAATGGAATTTTACTTCTCCCATTTTACTCAAGAAAATGGAACGACATTTGAATCCTGGCTCAAACACACTGCAGTTAGCAGTCGTGCCCGCTCCAGAGCGATCTGCACTCTCCATCCCACAGGGCATTTCCTGGGATGCAATGCTTGGGGAGAACCATGCCAGAGTTCACCTCCACTTGGGCCCGATTCCTGAGAGCTCCCTCAAAAGGCTCTGTTGTTATCTATCCCACCAGGTGCCCTACCACATGGTTGATGAACATGGCCTTGACTTCCAGAGGTGAACCCAAGGACCCCAAAGGCCGGCGCTAGCTAGGGAGTGGAGGAATGAGAAGAATACCAGTGCAATGGCACTGGGCCACCTCGTATGGCAGCAGAGGCTGTGCTGTCCTTGCACAACCCCAGGGGCACCAGTCCTGTAGATTATGATACGAATGGAGGCCCTCAGAGCTGTGCAACACAGCAGCCCTGTTTACACAGCCCAGAGCAAGCCTGCAGTCCTGGGGGTCAGTTTAGGCCTTACGTAACTGCAGGTGGAAGACAAAGCGTGATTCAGCAAGAAGGCAGGGCCGGGAAGTGGGTGGATGAAGCAGGCCAGGAGATTATGAGATGATGAGGCCTCCCCAAGCAGGTTTTTCTGCTTCAGCAGCTGGGAGACCCACAGGCTGGCACTCCCACGGCCCTCAGCCCGGCTGGGTGGCCACTGTCCATCAGGCCAGCATCTCTTCCTGTTTCAGCCCATTCCTCTGCTTACGAAGATGTGGCGAGCTGCTGTGTGCCCAACCCGGCGCTGGTGGTTTGGGCTATAAAACAGAAAGGACAGGGTGCCTGCCGCCCTCAGGGAGCTGTCATCTGGTGCAACCCCACAGGTGTAGTACAATGGACACAAGGTATGGGGGGGCGGTCTTCCCACAGGAGGCCGTCTTGGACCGCATCCTGAAAGGCTGGGGGAAGTTTGCAGACAGACATGGGGAGGTGGGAGTGCTGGTGGAGAGAGGAACAGCATGTGCAAAGGCACCAAGGGAGGCCTCTTTGCCACTTAGGACTGGAACCCAAGTTCATTTGGTGGAACAGACCCCCTGAGGGTTTCCTCAGCATCAACAGGAATCTGCTGAATTGAGACAAACCTGCACCGTGCAGTCCATTCAATCCAAACACACGGGAGAGAGGCAGGGACGCAGCACAGCACCCCCCTCCCTCTTGGGGTGTCAGTGAGAGAGCGGCCCCGCCTGTCACCATTCTGAACTTTCTGACCCAGTGTGAGGTGGAGTGAGGCCCAGTTCTGAGGAACAAAGAGCAAATGCTGCGCTCCCTGCCCCTCCCCTGCACTCTGCAATGACCTGGGGCTGGGGAGGGGCTTAGCACACGGGGTCTGGCAGGAGGACTATCAAAGGTCATTCCTGGCACCTGTCAGGTAACACAAGCACGGAAATGGAAGCCCTGCAGAGTTCCAAGAAACTGACATGTGAAAAAAACTGCCTATGTGCGGCCTGCACAGACCTCAGACCATTTGCTCCTAACACAGCCTGTAAGAGCAAGGCAGGGACAGGTTGCTCCCACTTCACAGATCAGAAACTGAGGCTACAGAGGGACAAGCTGCACGGTGGTGAGTGCTGGTGGCACAATCTTCTGAGGCAGGGCAGGGATGGGGCCAGGGGTTGGTGGTGGGGAGATAGTCATCACTGCTCCACAAACCCCAGAGTGGCTCCAGCTGAGCCGCCTGCCTCATACCACAAGCCCCGACACTGTCACTGGGGTGGCAGCCCGCCACCGGGCTGCCCCAGGGGCTGGACAGGCAGCCCACATGCCCTCCTAGCAGTGAGCAGGGGCCAGCTCACAGGATCTGAGGTTCCAGCAGGGTGGCCTCTCCCCTCTGCCCCAGCCCTTACATGCAGGTGACCTGCCCAAGCCAGCAAATGATGCAAGGTCTGACTTCTCTCCCCTCTGCCTGGTAACTCTCTTTTTTCCTTAAACCCCACTGTCCATTCCCCTGGGGCCTGTGGATCTGAGAGTGTTAAAAAGAAAAAAACCCAAAAAGATTAAGAGAAAAGACCTCTCTTCTGTCAGCCACCCGAAATGGATGGACACGGTCTGCTGATGAGCACAGACCACGTTACAGAGGACACAATAGCTGGGAAGCCCCGGGCAGGCCTCCAGCTTCTCTCCTGACTGTGCAGACCCCAGCAAAGACCCCTGGCCTGGTGGGGGTGGGGCTCATAACCCAGACTGTGGGAAGACCCCCGCCCAGAGGTGCCAAGGGCCAGCGGCGCCCAATGGCAGGTAGGCATGGAGGAGCCATTGCCGGCCCCCGCACGGGGCACTTGATCCACTTGCCATGGAGACAAGGAAACTCGTTTTCATCTCTTACACCCTGGCCCAGTTTGTGAACACCAGGACGGGGAGAAACGCTTCTCAAACACAATTTAAAAACCCACCAGAGCTAGCTGGCCAGATGTGAGGCCCATTTTTGGATGGGGAGCATTTCTTCCCTCCACCACGCTGAGAGGCTCTGTGCTAAGCGTCTCTTCTGGAAGAATTTAATTCCGGGCTCAGAGTCCAGGTAAAGAGGTTTCTTCGGGCAGGGAGGCCCCGAAATGAGCCTGTTTATCTCTGGCAGACCCTGGCTAAGCTTCCTCTCTCCAAATGCCATTTGGGCACTTTGAAATAAGTGCAGTAAATTAGTCACGAGCTGCGGCAGACTAACCCGGCGCCCGGCCGCCCGGTGGTTTCGGAGAGGCAGCTCTGCGCAGCCCCCACCTCAAGAGTGGGCGGCAGAGGCAGCTGGGCTCCTGCGGGGCGAGAAAAAGCGATTCGAGCCTGGGGGGTGGCAGCTCGAGGCAGCAAAGCGTTACCTGGATCACAGGGGCATGAAATTAGCAGCAGTGAGCGGGTTGCAGTCAAGAATAGTTTGCCATTGCAAACTTGCTGCCTTCGGAGAGAGAGCCGAGTTCTGCAGCCTGGGATGCTGTAGGGGAGGCACCCTCGCCCTGGCATCCACCAAAGTCATTGCTGGGCAGGCTGAGAAGTGAGCAGAGGGCAGGTGTCCCCATGAGGGGTGCAGCTGGCATCCTGTCTGTGGGTTCCAAGGCCCCATGTTTGGAGCTCTGGTCCAGGAAATCTAATGAGTGTGTGGCCGGGGGCATGGATGAGCTGGGAGAGCTGGCTGGGCAGGGAAGGAGGGGTGGTGCCTGTTCCTGGGGCCAGACAGGTGAGGGAAACAGAAGCCCAGATCCGCCTGTGTGAAGGGGTGGCCAGTGGCCCAAAGGCAGAACAAAGCTGGGCAGAATCGGAGAGGTAAGGCCAGGAAAGATGCTGGCCAGACAGACCCAGTCACAGGCGGGACGGGGCCCCATCAGACCTTTGCACGCTGCTCTGACATCCGTCTGACACTCGGCCTCTCTGGCCAGCTCCAGGGTGGGCTCTCCGGGGTCACTAGAAACCTTATTCTTCAGCAGCCCTCCCCAGCCCGCGATCCTTTTTCACATCTCCTTGGAATCCCTGCCAGAGGATGAGCAAAGCTCCGAGGTTTTCTGGAGTGAGCCTCCCACCTCGCGCTACTCCGTGGAAAGCTTTTTGGGGCAGACTTGCTCCGTGGAGTTCCCCCTTCCTGGCCTGCATTTCCTTTCTCCCTCACTGCTGGCTAAGAGGCTCACTCAGGGCTCTCTCGGGCTCAGAAAAAAAACCTCTTCAGCTTCGTTGCCTCCAGCCACCAGGCCCCTAGTTCCCTTCGCTCCAAACTCCCTAAACACGCAGCCCAGGCCCTCCGTGCGAATGCCCCCTCCTGGGCTACTCTGCGAAAGACTCCTCCAAAGGGCCCTCTTTGCAGCCCATCCATCATCAAGGCCTGGTCTTGGTCCTCACACTCCAGATGCCACGTGCCACCCCATCTATACTGGGTTGAATAGTGTCCCCCCAAAATTCATGTTTCCCCAGAGCCTCAGAACGTGATCTTATTTGGAAAGGGGGTCCTTGCAGCTACACTGGGTTAGGATGACATCATACTGGATCAGGGTGGGCCCTAAATCCAATGCCTGGTGTCCTTATAAGAAGGAGAGGGCGCACAGACACAGGAGAGCATCGTGTGAACAAGCCAGAGACTGGAGTGACGCTGCCACAAGCCAAGGAACGCCATGGACTGCTGACAGCTGCCAGAGCCTGGAAGAGGCAAGACAGGGTGTGCCCTCGAATCCTCGGGGAGCATCCTGCCAGCCCCTTGAGCTTGGACTTCTGGCCTCCAGAATGTGAGGTGGAAATTCCTGTGGTTCTAAGCCATGGGAGTTGTGGTACCTTGTTACAGCAGCCACGGGGAACCACCACGCCTCCCCTCCAGGGATCCCCACTGGGACTCACAGGCCGCCTCCCTGCCCTGCCCCCAGCAGCTCAGTCCTCTGCTCTCTCTGCCACCAGAG